TATAAGCTTGCAGTGTCTTCAGAGGACCCCCCAAAGATCATTTACAACAGACCAAAAAATAGATAAGAAAGAGTGACTGCTCTATCAGTCGTTTTTTGGTGTCTTCAAAATTGATCAAATACATAAACAAATTCACTGTTCATCTGAGCCGTTTGAAGGTCGTTTGTTTGCGATTTGAATTCTACAGGTTCTCCATAGCAACAAGTCGAATATTAAATCAATAAGCGTTTTGTTTATCATGTAAAATTTTTGCACCCTTGTCAATTATCTAATTTCAATCAAGTTTGCAGAAAAATGCCTGAACTAGAGCAACAACCTTCAACTGAAATAACGTCACCTCGTTCATCCTTATCAGTTACCCCATTCATTCTCTCTCCGGTATCATCAGGTAGCAGAGCATGTCACACGAATCAGATTCGGAAGTAAATTATGACTGGAACCCATTTCCTTATGGACACATTCAAATACCATTAGAACCTACAATTAGAGATGTTTTGGTAAAGAATGGTGTGATATCGATTGTGTCCGTTGAGTAAATATTTCAGATTCACGCCGCCAATACGAGCGAATTGCATACTGTCACAAAAATACAGTTGCAAGTAATTTCAATTGACACCTCTCTTCAACACATGAGTGTCCATTTACCTTTACTTCGAGAGTTAATTCTTGACGGCAGTGCAATATCATCATTACGTGATCTTGGATACGGGCTCAAGAATTTGAAAATCTTGAAGGTATGCTCCTGCGGTCTGACGACATTAGATGGTATGCTAGGTTTAGACACTGTGGAAGAATTTCACGCCGAAAGTAACCAAATCACAGATTTAAGTCCTTGCGGTTTCCTGCCGAAGATTCGCTTAATCAATCTGAAAAGGTACGTGCAGGTATGATGAAATGAGTACCTAGGTACTATTCAGCGCTCTTCAGAAATCTACTCAAAGATGTTATGGCTGTTACTTTTTTGACAATATGTGAGTCGTTAGAACATTTAACGCTATCGGAAAATATAGAATTAATTCAAGCTTTTGACACTCCCTTGTACAGAAAAATTGTTAAAAGTATTTTACCAAACTTAAAGACGCTAGATGAAGTGGACATTTCGTCAGGTGGGAAAGGCATAAGTTGTTTAAGCGTTGAAAACATATTTTCGTTTTAGAGGAAACATTGCCAGAGTATGCCAAGCTTCATCAGTTTTGCGCAAGTGAACACCTTGAAAGTGACCAGGTAGGTGGTGCTTTTTCTTAATAGTTCAATGGTACTTAACTGAAGGGCCAGATTTTTGCATCCTCCTAACAGAGTTTTTGTATTTGAAAGCTCATCGCGGGCGTATTGTATTCCCTAGTCTTAGCATGGTTAATCGACAATTTGACTTATGGAAAATTCTGTACAAAGCTAGGGCTAAAAGGATGTTGGAAGGAACTCTATAAAAAAGGTCTGAACAATCAATTTGTATTTAGAACGCTTCAGTGACATTCTAGCGCATACCAAAGTCTCTTATGTGCCTTTTCGAGACTCCTTAGGCCTGTTGTTAAAAATTTCAAGTGTTTTTTTGAAACCTCTAGATCTTAGAAGGCCCTTTCCAAAGTGTTCTGGAAATGCGCTATAAAGCTTTAGTAAGCGTCTAGAAGTGCTTTTCAAAGATTTCTATGTTGTTCAGATTTTTGCTCCACACTTTCCTGATCTGTTTAGGCATTGCCATGGCTTAATTCCTAGCCCTATACAGCGGTTTTCAAAAGATTTCTTGTAGAAAGCAAAAGGGAACTTTCGAACGTATATATAACTACCTCAGAAATCTCAGGAAGGCCTTCCGTCGCCTTTTAAGTTATTATTTCCAGAGATTCCAAAGACCTTAGAAGACTAAAGAACTCTGCGTTCTATTTTGTTCATTCAATTTTCACGTTTACCCCTTTTGCTCTTTTCCACGCCCAGGTTTTTACTCCCAGCATGAATTTTAACTTATACGTACAGTTGACAACTAATGTATCTTCCTTCTGTCTCTAGGAATTTGACTTCAATGAGGAGACAAAAGACGCATCACGACACTTGTATTCCATAACAGACAAAGGTCAATTTGTGGTCAGTTTTACACCAAAAGTATTATCACCAAGATCTCCCTCAGGGCATAGCAGTACAGATTCGACCATCATTTCAGGTACAATTACTATTGAAGCTTTATCCAATATAATATTATTTTAGCGTTTAGGGAAGAGAAATTTCCATCATTTGAGGAATGGCTGCACACACCAGATTCTGATGATTAATTATATCTACTTACCAATATCTATTTTTGATATTTTTATACATTAATTTTATTTGTTATTTGTAAAATTTAAGAAATATATTTTTAAATAAAATTATTTATTCAACAAAGTAATAAAAGCTTAATAATCATAACTGATTAGACGCAAGACGGAACCTGCGGTAGGCACATGTTATAGTATGCTGTTTTATCCCAAAATTTGGCACCTTTCCATCCACACCATCCCTTCTTCAATATGATGTCCAAATCTTCAGAACCGGTGTAATGTGGATCCAAAATAAGAAACTTGATTTCGCCAGTTAAATTATTATAATCAACGCCTAATATGGTGTGTGCAAGAACGCCACCCCCTGAAACGAAGTTTAAAAGTCATACCACTGGCAGTCCGTCTATTACCAATCATTATGGGTGAGCCATGGTGTTTGAAATGATAAACTAATTCTGGTCCTTTACTAGCCATATCCTCGCCCGAACTGACGTACAAAATTTTGCATGTTACATTAAGTAACGAATTTAGAACGAAATTGACTTCGGTCGAACCGATCCACTGTTTTGAGCCTACAAAACTGGAAGGTTTATCGCCAATGTCTACTAGACACTTCTGAATGTCGTGAAACGTCGGTACTTCTGTATCTGTATATCCCTGAAGTAATAACCAAGAGGCTAACGTTTGCAGCGAACGATAGGCGCATCCCCAGCCGTTGTCGTCCATGTTGTTCTGACAGTAATGGTAGTACCTGTACTTTCCTTTAACCAAAACGATTTCCCCTCCTGAAAATTATTAAGGAGTGTTACTACACTACTTACTGACTACTGTCAGAGCTGGGTACTGCTCACGAGCGTTTCGCTCGAAAAAGTACTCCAAGCGGAAAAAGCGCGTGCGAGCACTTTTCGGAGAGGCCGCTTGGTGCTCGATACTCGAGCGTTTACTTAAAGTGTTCGGCGCCCAAGTACTTTTTCTGCCCGCGAGCGGTTTTTCCGCCTATGAGCGTTTTTTCCGCTTGCAAGCGCTTTCTTCGCTCGCGAGCTTTTTTTCCGCTCACGAGCGCTTTTTCCGCTCCCGAGCACTTTTCCCGAGCGCTCGAGCATTGTTAGGAGTGCTCAGAACTCGCAAGCGGTTTCACTTTGCAAAACAACTCGATGCTTGCGAGCATTTTCGAGACAATTAGAGCGCTCGTCGCTCGAGCGATTTTTTAGAACGCTCGACCTAGTTCTGTTAGTAGTGTAGTGTAAACCAAAAACGCAAAAAAATAACCCTTGTATGTACCTCTAAAGGCAATGGTCTAGTGGTAAGGAGGGTATCCTTACCACTACCTTACCGGGCTTGTACTCGGATGGTTCGGGTTTGATTCTTTGTAGATTTCAAATTTTTTTAAAAAGCAAACTTATACAAAAATGCTTCAGACATGCGCAGTGTATGGAGCGACGTGGACGATTTAGGCAAACGTCACCACCAAACCTAACCGAACAGACTAAGTACCTCATTAAACAGTGCCAGGCTTTTTCCTTTTTGTTCCCTTCTGGTTTCAGGTTCAACTTACCATTTTTCACAGAATTTAAACTCTCATGAGGATTGATCAACAGTCCCGCTCCCTGCGCGTCTCCTTCAAAAACAAATCGGTTGCCCACCCTGAACAATGGTTGATTTACTGGTAGCAATAAACGCTTGTGAAGTAGCCTTCTCGCCTTTGCTGTAACAAAATATAAATAGGTACCACTACCAGGTCGCGAAATGTTACCTCTCAACTCTGCATTTTCATTTTTAATGAAAGTTCTTGTAATAAAATGCCCGCACGGTTCAGGAAAGAAATGGTAAGTCTCCAGTGGTGAAATAGAGGAGTTGTCACCATCGCACATTATTACATTGTTTACCATAATTCCTTCCAAATGCCTCAGAAATCGGCAGCAGCTTTCGACAAGTATCGAATACAACGCGACTAGCTTTTTATGTTTGTGCACGACAACAAGTGTGTCGACTTTTAGATTGACTTTTACCATTTCCGAAAAACCTACAAGTTTAGTTATAAAACAGGCGGAAGTAAGAAGAATAAGTTACATTTATCAATGTGTACCACCGGAGTGTGTATCTTGAAGTCGGCGCTCGCCGCCCTAGTTACTTTCTTCATCATAACCATTCTAAGAAAATCCTAAAACCTTTGTAAATGTAGTTATCGTTATTATGATCACTTAACTTCTTAAGTCCTCTTTAGATGGTAACATTTTTATGGCGAAACTGCGGTGTAATTTGAATTATAACAGATTCCCATTAGGTACATTAGTTTCCCCTTATATAGTCCAGGAAATAGAGACTGAAAATGGACCGTTTCCTGCAAAACGAGAAGTAGTTCCATTTTTTTTTGCATGTCATGAAAGAATATCTGGTGGTTAAGAATCCAAGTTTTCGACCTCCCACCCCTTGTGCTTCCCCCGTACCACCCTTAAAACCAAAGAAATTTGGTTGGTTTTTTAGTTTTTCAATCATATCTTTTTATAGGTTCATTTTACAAAAAAATATTTTTATCAGAATTGTAGACTATACAATTCTACACAACTTTTATACACACTACTTTTTTGAAAAATGTTTATTAAAAACGATATCGAGCTACAGAGTTGCTTATATTTTTAAGAATTCTGAAATTTCTATGTAGATGTTTTAACCAAATTTTATACCTTATCTCTTTAATGAAGAGTTTTATGAGAAAATATCTTGAACTTATCGTGATATAAATCCCCCTACGCTGCACCCTTCCCAAAGGGGATTCATAATAATTCAACTTTCAACCCTTGCTAGTGGGGATATTTCAATCACTGTGAAATTGTAGGGCTTTCTAATATGATACGTTTGAAACAAAAAAATTATCTCACTTCAGTTCAGCTTAATCCTTCACACCCCATCCGCGGTAGGAATAGATATTTAAAGAGGAATAGAAAACATATGTAATAAGCGTTGTACTCTCTGACTAACTTCACAATCGCCACAAGAGCGTTGAAATATCCATTTTTACCGCGCGCGCGGGGGGAGGGGGGAGGGGGGAAAACTCAACTGAAGTGAGACAATTTTTTAATTTCAAAAGTATATTAGAAAGCGCTACAATCTCACAGTGATTCAAATATCCCCAGTAGGGGTTGAAAGTTGAACTATATATTATGCATCCCCTTTGGTAAGGGTGCAGGGTAGGGGGTTTATACCACGATAAGTTCAAGATATTTTCTCATAAAACTCTGAATTATAGAGATAAAGTATAAAATGTGGTTAAAACATCCACATAGAAATTTCAGAATTTTTCAAAATATAACCAACTCTCAAGCTCTATATCTTTTTTAATAAACATTTCACAAAAAAGTAGTGTATATCAAAGTTCTGTAGAATTTTATGGTCTACATTTTCTGATAACAATATTTTTTCTAAAGTGAACCATTAAAAAGACGTGATTGAAAAACTAAGAAACCAACCAAATTTCAGGGGTTTTGGGGGTGGTACGGGGGAAGCACAAGGGTTGGGAGGTTGAAAACTTAAAATTCTTAAACCACCGATGAACCTGTCTATCCACATGCAAAAGAAATTGAACTAAACTCTCATTTTTTTGCAAGTATTAAAAACCCTCTTTCCCTTGAGACCTATATATGGAAATGTCAGAATATCTGGCAATGGAAAACATAACCGGTTTTCCTTTTTGAACGATTGGAAAGATTTCCCCACAACCACCTTACATCTTGGAATTTTTGTCGAGTTTGTGGGGTCTGACGGACATGCGATCCCCCAAAGGTTGGTGACTTTTTTGAACTCTCGGAAAATTTCTAATATCTTTCGCTACAAGACGAAATTGAAGGCAAGCCCCTTATTTTGATGCAGAAAAACATTCCTCCCCCGCCGCCTCACCATCTGAATATCGGTCGCGCAACACGGAAAAAAAATAGTAACAAGTCCTAGATTGAAGTTCCATGGCGCAAAACTGGGTATATGGGACTGTTTCGGCGAGTAACATAGCGAAAAACTGTGAATTTGGGTCAATAGGCCATTCTTCGCAACGTTTAGAGCCGTTGTTGCGCGGTGTACACATGCGATGTTGAAAAAAAACATACAGTTCCCAACTCTCGTTCTTTTATGTTCCTGTATATCGTTTTATTCATAATAAAAAAATGCTATTTAACTACAGTGTGGTGCTTTTTTGAACAGACCATATAAATAAAAATAATGGAACGATGATTTCTCCGATAACGAAATGCGAAAATTGAAAATCTTCTTCCCTATTTTTTTTGTAGCAAGGGCGATTTCTTTGAGAACCCCTTCCGCCCCAACTAAGGTCGAAAGTCTGCACCGCGCTTAGGTGACAAGGAAAGCGGTGGTTCCAATTATCCTCTTCTTAATCTTCACCATAAAAATCACCTTCTGCGATTTCGAAAATTAAAAAACTTTTGTGACACATCACAGACCAGCACTTTTCAGAAAATATAGTCTCCAGTAACTTGAATTTTACCCCCCACAAGTTACCGCCCAGCAAAGAAAATTAAATGGTCTTTTCTAACCATGTGGAGGGAATGTGTAGGCGGCGAATAACACATACAACAATACAGCAAATCCCTCCTTGTAACTAAGGAATACTCCGCTTACCACCTATGTTCAAAAAGTACTTAATTTTCAAAAAATATGGGTTGATCCCGAGGGTTTTGAGTACTACAGGCCGCCGTACTATCGTTTTTGGATAAAAGCTACAAATAGGATGGTCGGGGGGGGGGGGGGGGGGGGTATTATGGTTTCACGTTTCTCTGTCCATTCCGAGGCCTTACTACTCCTACAGTTTTTCAAAATATTTTGTTTTAAGTTTGTTCATTTTGCATTTTCGGTACCTTTAGCTCTTGGCACCTCACCCAAAGAAAAATGTTCACATTATTCATTTTATAGATATTTTCCAAATTCCTTTTAGTAAAAACAAGTACACCAGCAATATTGTAAAAATCAGAATATGCGCCCTGCGCAAGTGAGCACTTTCTTATTTAGATATTTTTTTGAAATTTTTATTGTAAATTTCTTCCTAGTAAAGACAAGCAAGTCGCATACCTGGTAAAAAAATCAAATGTGCCCATGCGTAGAACTGCGCAATCTTTCTTATTTATTAAAGATATATAATATTTTAAAATTTAAACACACAGATGCTTCTAGTAAAGACAAGCATTATCGCATATTGGATGTGCGCAGCGCATGCGCAAAACTGACAAATGTCCACCTTTTTATTCATAAAGGTGTATTTTTTTGAAATTTTAATCAAAGATTCTTCTAGCAAAGGCAAACATATCGCATATGTCTAAACATCAAAGTGTGGCGCATCCCGCAGGACTTGCAAGACAAAAGCCTCATCGTTTCCAGGCTAAGTTTTTTACGCGCGAGGGGACTTACTATTGCCCCCTTACGGATTTAAACTCTGGAAAATGGACAAACTTTGTCCCCGGAAAGGCAGTGACGTTCCAAAAGTATTACCCCTCGTATTTCCTCTTATTACCCTCAACTATTTTTTTACTCCAAATTGAAGGTTATATTACCAGTATGCCTTCCATATTAACCGCCTGTGTTGTGCCAACGTAATCCCTAATATAAAGAGCGGTCACTGTTTTCACTCATATTTATCTGTCTAATTTCTCCAATATATTTGTTCGGAGTTCCCTCTTATTTCCGCTCTATTGTTCTGTAATTCCCTCCCATAATGGCTGCTGCCCAAAACCCCAAAACCTTTCCACACTATTACCACCCCGACTTGAGTGCGTCTTCCCCCCGTTTTCCCCCTCGGGGAAACTACCTGTTGTTTTACAAATACTTTTCTTCCATTATGCGAATTTATTTCCGTTTTCAGTCACAATTTTTCAATTACATTTTCCAAAGTACTACTTAATTATTATTCTTAACCTCGAAAAATATTTTACTGGCGTTGAAGTATTATTAGTTTATCAGCAATGCTTTTCCTAATTACCTCGATTTTTGCCACAAATTCCTAAGACTGCCTTGTATTTCGCCCATTTTCCTTATATTTCCCCATTAAGTTATCTCGTAATTCCCCACATTTCTTCGGAGTTCCCCTTATTAGTCTCTCATACTCCCCCTAATTCCTTTATATCAACCCCAACTTTTGACAATTTGCGCTCTACAGTGGGTTTCCCCCTCGATCACGACCATCATGAAAACATGCCATCTTTTCCGAAGCGCGCTATACATGCCCCCTGTGTTCTGCTCCGAGCCTAAACGTTTAAAATCTAGGGCTCTGCTAAATAAGTAGTTCAAGAAAGAGTGTAAATTCCATATTTCTCCCGGTGTTGAGTTATACCCCAATAATGTCTACAGCCCCCAACCCTCTTCTAACCACATTCTCAGGAAATGTTCATTGGGTTTGTGGGTATTAAAAATTCATCAAAGTCCTCGTGTGGATCGAAGGGCTTCAGCGCATTTTGTGTGGCAGATCAGTATTCTATTAGCCATCTTTTGACTCACCATAGAAATAGGAAAGATCTTGTCGAAGGAATACCACTTCCCCTTTGACGGTACCCACTTCCGACGTCCCAGTTCACCGCAATGTCCGCGTTTTGAAGATTTTTCTCCACCATCAGTTAGGATCTTGTCGGAGGCTACCAACATTTCCTTTTTCTGTGCATATTTATATTACACCTCACATTTTGTGGATCTCGCTAAAAACCTTCCACAAGATAGTAACTTAATTTTTGGTGGCACTTCTCCATTGCTCCGAGCTTCTATTGGCGACACGAAAAGAGAGACCAGCCATTCGAGATTTACGAAACGTTACCAACGCGTGACAGAATTTCGCAACGGAAGGTAAAAGTTGCCGAAGTTACTTACTCTCGAAAGGTCGTTAATTTCGCGACCTAAGGCCAAAAGAAAACCAAACATCCGGCCACGCAGGAGTTTGTGCGCGTTTACAACAATCTTTCTTGGTCCGACGGACAC